TATATATATATATATATATATATATATATATATATATATATATATTACATATTTTATGTATGTATGTATGTATGTATGTATGAATGAATGATACTAAAACTACTACTACTATTCCTACTTTGCGGTTGGTCACTTATTGTGGGTCTTCAGGGTACTGATCCCCCACGATAAACAAGGGACTTCTGTGTGCTACAGCAAGCTCAAAAACAGAAGAAATAAGGGAAGTTGCAACAAAATCCACCATTAATTAGGGTTGGAACTTTATTTTTATTTCAACTTATCTGAATACTAGGCTGAGGACCTGGTCACTCCCACTGGATGTCTAAAACATACAAAGAGGTCTAGCCCAGCTGTCAAGAAGGGTGGTGTCCCAAAATGTAAACCAGTATTGTGACTTGAAGATATGATGTACTGATAACAGCTGATCTGTGTAACCAGCCAGTGGAGGGGTTTTGAATAGATGTCCAACACATTTTATTGTGATTGGTAAATTTGAGGTAATACAATTATTTGTTTTCATGTAGACTCAGACACTGAAAAAATCTGTGCCAGCTTGATTTTAGAGTAGATGCCATTTTTCCACCAGGTTAACTTTTTCTTTTCTTTTTGTTCTTTGTTCTTTTTTCCCACCTCCCAGTCATCCCCAAACGGAACAGTGTTTTTGCTGTGGAGATTAACGGCTTTGTTACACACATCTATGGAAGCAAGTTTGAGCAGCGAGCCAGTGAACGGTCCGCCAAGAAGTTTAAAGTTAAAGGAACCATCGACCTTTGAGGGCCCAAAGTGTCACTGCAGGATGTTGTGCGCCTCAAATTTTACAGTTGTGCTTCTTGTATTCCTACTGACCAATAAAGGAGCTGCAGAAATCCTCATTGTGCAGCAGCTGGATTCTGGTTGTGCTTCTGGGACAAAAACAATCTTTTTCAACACTTTAGAAGCAACAGAGTTTTGAAATCGGCCTGAAGTTGGGACAGGACTGTATTAACGCTCTTGCTTCAGCAGCAGGTTTTGTAACATCTTCATTTACAAGAATAAATAATAGGCAGATTTGCCAGAGGTTCTATGAACACCTGCTCAATTTAGACTGTATTAGTTTATTATTATTACTTGGGCTTATTAAACTATGATCACGCCACTTTGCTTGTTGTTCTTGTGTACATATACTTAACATCCTTCTGAAAAAGTGGAGCTAGCTCACAGTGGCTGCATCCATTTGCTTTGTTGGGTTACTTGTGTGCTATATTTTGGGCCTTACATAATCCTACAGTCCATGTTCTCTAACTGCTATCACATTTAAGTACTCCTTTATCACAGTCTCGCTCTATCACAGTTTTTCAAAATAAAATTGGACATGACACACAATTGGCAGATTGATGGATGAGCCGCAGGATCGGCATGGAATTTTGTTTTAAAATAAATTATTTTAAATTAGTTAGCACCTGCTGCACCTGTGTGCAGCCATCGGCTGCAGTAGAAGCTTCCTTCTGCTTCGTGTCATATCTCCGTTCTGCACTGGGGAAATGGGCGTGGCCAAAAGCGCTTGCTGGTGACGAAGTGCAGCAGGAGGCAGAGAGCTGAAATCATGACATGCTGTGCTCTTTTAGAGCGTTTAGAGTTTAGAAACATTGTTTAGAATATTGCAAGAGTGTGGGAAGGGTTTTAAACACCTTCATATAAATACTAAAACTATTACTACTACTTTGGACTACTGTATCCCTATTTAACGGATTTTCACTTATCAGTGGGGGGGTGGTCCCTAACATCCGTGATAAATGAGGGAACACTGTAATTCCTTTGTTCAGTTAAAATTATGGCAGTACAAAAATACAATGCCATTTTTGTTTTTTGTTTTTTACACCCTTTGTCCAGGGATTTAGTTAGATGTGTTTTTTTAATGCACTCGGCCAGATTGACAAACATATTTTAAAGAAGTTTTTAGTATGCAACATGTTATTTTGTTAAGTTGATTTCAACTTTGTAAAATATACCAAACTTTCCTTTCTTCACTTTTTGAATCATTATGCAAGTCTTCAGCTCAGTTTCTATGGCAACAGTTCACAACAAAGGTTATCTCGGAACAATATGAAGATAAGGAAGGTTCATCCATCTGCAGTCTTTCTTTTAAATGCACACAATATTCTTGGAAGTTTTCAATATGGTTTTTAAAAAGTTTTTAATTTATTTTTTATCAGGTATAGACTCAACAGACTTGGCTGTTCTTTTGCTTTTAGACTTGACAGCTGAGTTTGACTCAGTTTATCACAGTTTTCTGATTTAGACAGGACTATCAGTCTTTGTCCCATTAGAAACTACAGCACTTCTCTCACAGATCTGGGTAGCCTACAATCTCATGTAGAAAATATGGGAGTGATACTTGATTAAAATTCTAACTTAAGGAAAAAAGATGATTTCTGTATATGTCTATTTAAATTGAGGCTTTTACCAAAATCCTCATCTTCTTTAGGCTTTTCCCTCTTCAGGGGTTGCCACAGTGAGTCAGTCTCCTCCATCATGCGCTGTCCTCTCCATCCTTTGTCCTCACTCCAACTACCTCCATGTCCTCTCTAACTGCATCCATATATCTCCTCTTTGTCTTTTTCCTGGCAGCTGCATTTCTAACATCCTTCTACCAGTATAACCACGGTCCCTCCTCTGGACATGTCCAAACCATCTCAGTGTGGCCTCTCTAACTTGGGTCTCCCAGATGTTCAACCTGTGCTGTACCTCTGATGATCTCATTCCTAATCTTATCCATTCTTGTCACCTAAGAAGAACAGCAACATCTTCATTTCTGCTACTTCCAGTTCTTTCTCCTGTCCTTTTGTCAGTGCCACTGTCTCTACACCATACAACATAGCTGGTCTCACCACTGTCTTGTAAACTTTTCCTTTGACCATTGCTGACACCCTTTTGTCAGAAACCACTCCTGAAACTTTTCTCCATCCACTCCATCCTGCCTGGACTCTCTTTTTCACCTCTTTACCATGCTCCACATTGTCTTGGGACAGTGGACCCCAAGTACTTGAAGTCCTGCACCTTTGTGACCTCTGCTCCTTGTAACCTCCCTCTCATTCACACACGTGTACTCTGTCTTACTACAGCTGACTTTCATTCTTCTTGTTTCAAGTGCATCCTTCCACCTCTCCAAGTTCTCTTCCACCTGTTCCCTGTTCTCACCATAGATCACAATGTCATCTGCAAACATCATAGTCCACAAAAATTCCTGCCTGACCTCATCTGTTAGTCGGTCCATCACCAGAGCAAACAAGGAGGGGCTCAGAGCCAATCCCTGATGCAATCCCAACTCCACCTGAAGCTATCTGTCACTCCTACAGGCTACAGCGCATTTCAACATTGTCCTGCTGTCCTCATACATGTCCTGTACTAGTCTAACATCTTTGCCACTCCAGATTCCCTCATGCAATACCACACCTGCTCCCTCGGCACTCTTGTCTTTTTCTAAATCCACAAAGAAACAATGGAGTTCTATCTGACCGTCTTTGTACTTCTCCATCAGCATCTTCAAAGCAAAGATGGCATGGTGCTCTTTCTTGGCATGAAACCATACTGCTGCTCACAAATAGTCACCTCGCGTCTAAATCTTGCTTCCACAACTCTCTCCCAGATCTTCATTGTGTTATTCATCAACTTAATTCCCCTGTAGTTGTTACAACTCTGTACATCACCCTTGTTCTTAAAAATGGACACCAGCACACTTCTTCATTCCTCAGGCATTTTCTCACCCTCAAATATGCTATTGAATGTTCTGGTCAAAAACCTCACTGCTATCTCCCCCAGACATTTCCAAACCTCCACTGGTATGTCATCAGGTCCTACTGCCTTCCCCTTCTTTTTTTTCCCCAGAGCTTTCTGAACTTCACACTCATCTTTCCCACTTCCTGGTCCACAGTTTCTATGACCTCTACTCGTCTATCCCTTTCTCTTCATTCATTAGCTCCTCAAAATACACATTCCATCTTCCCATCACACTCTCCTCACTTGTTAGAACATTACCATAAATGATGCACCAATCCACATTTTTTTTTTACTTCCGATTCAATCCAAATACCTAAATCTGGATATTGACCGATACCGATTCAGTTCTGATATCATCATCAATATTGATTTTATATGAGGCTGTAATAATCTCCTCTCAAGTACAGTTTGTACAAATATATGCATACATGTCCAAAATGGCAACTTGAGATAAGTTTTATTAATGTTTCAAAGTTAGAATTGAATTCTGCTAACACAAAACGTGTTTTTTTTTTTTAATTCCTAGCTTTAAAGTGGATATTAAAGTGATTAAGTGATTGTTTAAAGTTTTTTTTTATTTTTTATAAGGGGCAGATATAAGAATTGTTTTCTTCTTTCTGCACTCTTTTCATTCAGTGTTTTCTTTTTGACAAATTTGTTTTGTTTATTTTGTTTCTTTTAAATCAGTAAATATTCGAGCTCCGTGGCTTCAGCGGTGTGTTGTTCTCATTCAATCCGAAGCAGGCAGTCTGATTTCGGTCAGCCGCACTCAGTCTGCTCCACCTCAGAGACGGACAGACTGGGCGCGACTGGCCGTTGTCGGGCTGCCGCCTTCGAGCAAGAGGAGCAGACCGCTGAAGCCACAGAGCTCAAATGTCCAACGTAAAACTAACTTTACCTCGATTTAATGTGGTGCTATGGCTCTGCAGACATTGCACGTTGCTGTCTTGCTTTGTGGTGTTTCTAGTGTAAAATATTTCAACACAGCAGACATGTTTTGATGAAAAGTTGGTTAGCCGTTAGCCACAGTGATGCAAACTCGTTCCTCACGTTGTAGCTGGCTGCAAACTATGAAATGGATTTCCTGAATGTGGGGTGGGTCTTATTACTCAGTGTTTCATGACACACGCCTCCATTCAGGAAATCCATTCCATAGTTTGAAGCCAACTTGCAGAGCAGCTGGCAGGGAATCACATGAGGAGAAGTTTCATCAGACACAGACATGCATCATGGATCGGAAATTTCTGCAGGTTGTATTGGAAAATTATACATAAATTATGTCCATCTCCATGGTCTTCTGTCTCATCTTCTGCTCATGCTAAGTCCATTTTTGAAAAATGACAAAGTATAACTCCTAAAACTGCTAAAACTTGATGCCACTTAGTTTTTATTTTTATTTACAGAAGAAGAAGAAGACGTGTCTTCAGAGGTTTTTGTGTCGTTTCTTTCAGTAGTTCTTGGTGCATCGCCCCCTCAGGCGAGCGGGGGAATAGGTTGGTTCAACAGGTTGACTTGACCGCACCAGCTCAAATGTAAACAAAAGCTCATGAATATTGGTCCCGAACCGAACTGAGTCTACCGGACTATCTAGTCTGAAAACGACCTGAATATTCTTTCAATAGTCTGTCAATAAGGCCATGTGTGTGCATATCTTCTGGCTGACTCTCTGTGGTGAATCCATTTTGGGTGTGTTAGTGGTGCTGCAGGAGTGCCCAGCTGAATGACATATTTACTAGAATATACATCATTGGTCCAGCTCTTCTTGAAGGTGGGTCTAACGTTACCTGCCCTCTTTGCAGTGATTCAGTGAACCAACTCCCCTCTCGCCAATGGTTTCAAACTAATGAACAAATCAAAAAAACGCATCGTAAATGTTACTTGGGCAGCACGGTGGCGCAACTGGTAGAGCTGCTGCCTCTCAGCGAGCAGGTCCCTGGTTCAAACCCCGGTCCAGGGGCCTTTCTGGGTGGAGTTTGCATGTTCTCTCCGTGCATGCGTGGGTTTTCTCCGGGTACTCCGGTTTCCTCCCACAGACCAAAAACATGCATGTTAGGCTGATTGGTAACTCTAAATTGTCCCTAGGTGTGAGTGAGAGAGTGAATGGTTGTTTGTCTCGTTTGTCTCTATGTGGCCCTGTGATGGACTTGCGACCCGTCCAGGGTGTACCCCGCCCCTCGCACAGTGATTGCTGGACATGGGCACCAGCGACCCCCGTGACCCAAAATGGAATAAGCGGGTAAAGAAAATGGATGGATGGAAATGTTACTTGTGTAGTGAATGCAGGGGTCAGCTTCACTACTAATTAATTATTCTTAAAGCTCGTTCAAGCACGAAGAATATTAATTATTTAAATACAAAGGATTCTTTCTTTTTCGAGTTAAATTAATGCCATGTGATGAAATAACTGTGAGAATTGTTTAATCAGTGACATGAGACACCATTTTTCTTTGACCCATCAGAATAAATGCGGTCATTTATTTAACAGAATCAAAATTTAACATCAAAACATGTACACATTGATTTGCTGATCTGGTTCTGATTAATAAAAACTTGGCACGCTTTACTAACAAGACAACAGAACATTTCTGAAGGCATCTACAGGTCCTTCTCAAAAAATTAGCATATTGTGATAAAGGTCATTATTTTCCATAATGTAATGATAAAAATGAAACTTTCATATATTTCAGATTCATTGCACACCAACTGAAATATTTCAGGTC